ATTCTATTCTATTCTATTCTATTCTATTCTATTCTATTCTATTCTATTCTATTCTATTCTATTCTATTCTATTCATTCCATTTTCTCCCCCCAGGACTCACAGACAAAGACAACATGAACTCAGACTCTGCAAACAAAGCCCATAACAAGGTAAATACTCCCTACAGATCACACATTGGGTTTGTTTAGGGATTTAAAAATGAATAAAACAACATACTGTCTCTAGTCTAGACAGTCTTATTCTGTCCTCTTCCTGTATGCATCATTATTTCTGTGAGAACTGAGCAAGTAGGACTGATCTTATCTCATCATGTGTGTGCCTGTCTGGTAATTTGGTGTTTTTGAAGTTTGAAACGTCGCTCGGGTTTATGCTGTATTTGAAAAAGTTCTTATTGCTTTCATTCACCATATCATGACATCCTGCAGTTTTCTATTTTAATTTTATTTTTTTGTGCTGTGTGCTTTCATGTTTTTTTTTAATAAACCAGAACAAATTTAGATGTACGTGTGTTTGCTGAGCAGAGACCACTGATGACTCAGAGTTGAGATGTTCAGTAGTTATGTAAATCCTAGGTAATGCATGCACATCGAAGAAAGATCCCATCTGCCCAATTAACATGCCTTCCTTTGTTGTTTTCAAAACCAGCTGTGTGTATGCACATCTGTCTTTTTTTTCATTTCGTGTAAAGTGCAGGTGTTGTGTATCATAGATGTCGCTACTTTTATGCAGTTTAACAAATATATATGTTTTATTGTGTATCAGTGTTAACGATCTGCTAGATATACACTTATAAGCTTCAATGTACCCAAAGTTGCAGTATTGTCCAAAATATTTTATAACTATTTAAAAAYGTGAGATGTCGTTACAGTGAAGTTTGCGATCCTGTTCTTTATATTTAGATTCCCTCAGAGAAGCTGAGGAGAGCAGGAAAAGTGCTCCGCAACGCCATCCTGTCGAGAGCACCGCACATGATTCGAGACAGGAAGTACCACCTCAAAACGTACAAGTACGTGATTAATTGGGTTCGTTTTATCTGAATTAATAACATGGTAAACCTATTAAATAGCAGCATTTTTTAAAACCCAGAGGCTGTCTTGTAAATGATCCACATTTTATGTTTTTGTGTGTGTTTTTGTGTGTGTTGCAGACAGTGCTGTGTTGGCACGGAGCTGGTGGACTGGTTGGTGATGCAGAGCGCCTGTGTGCTCACACGCTCCCATGCTGTCGGCATGTGGCAGGCACTGCTGGAGGAAGGAGTGCTTAATCATGGTAACGAGTTAGAGTTAAATAGTATTAAAGTTGAAACTGATGCAGCTTCCTATAGTTATAGCCTTTAAAGAAGCTGTCTCACATGATGATAAATGATAAAAATAACGATCTTGTGCTCATATTTATGTGCTCGTCAGTGGACCAGGAGCTGGGTTTTCAGGACAAGTACCTGTTCTATCGGTTTCTTGATGATGAAGAGGAGGACACACCACTACCTAGTGAGGAAGAGAAGAGAGAGAGTGAGGAAGAGCTGCCTGAGACCATCCTCTTTCTGGCTCAGATTGGCCCTGATGCACTGCTGCGCATGATCCTCAGGAAATCGTTAGTGACAATCAGCTTTTATACACTTTTCCATGTCCCCAAAACTAATGTTTAGTCAGTGAACTGTTAACCAGTTGTATTCCAAACTAAGATTCATGATATCCACTGTTAGCATTTGAAAAAACAAACAAACAAACACTTGTGTTTATCTTGTGTCTGCAGGCCGGGTCAGAGGACAGGCGATGACTTAGAGATCATCTATGATGAGCTGCTTCACATCAAGGCCTTAGCTCACCTCTCCAACACTGTGAGTCACCTCTTTATTTATTAAAGGGAAGGCATGGTGTTGTTAAGATGAGTCATCATGCTTCAGCAGGGTTTTATGATCGACACTGGATTAAGACGTATATCTTTGTTCTGAGGTTTTTGAGATAGCCCAAACCCAAACGAGTGTTCTTGTCATTATTTTTGACATTAGAGTACCAGAGTACCATTATCAATATTGCAAAGAATTCCCCACAAAATAGCAGACACAACTATACGGAGCCCATCTGGTGACTTGGATTTAAAAAATTATGCGTGGATAATTATTGTCATTTYTTTGCAGACTATTGAGTGCTCTTGTTCACATGTAAAAGTTTGAATTAATTTAATTTAATTTTAATATAGGAATGAATGATATACTTCAGGCACTTACATTAGGCACAGGTGACCACTGGAGTTGTATTTGTCCAAAAGGCTTTATTTGAAGCTCAATACTGTTACTAGGGATGGGTACCTTTGGCATTTGAATCGATTCGGTACCAATATCTGGTACCTGGGAATCTGTACCAGTACGTAACGGTACCAGTTTTCAGTACTTTGTGTGTGTGTGTGTGTGTGTGTGTGTGTTCTTTTTTTTATAATCTTTTATTTCTTTTAACATACCGGTATTTCTCAATATATAAAATTAACAAATATCAAGACAACATCCAACTCTTTGTATTGTAACATCAGTTGTGTAACTTATTTCTTTAAAGTGAAAACGCTTGAAAACAACAAGACAGTTTTGTCTTATTACACAAATTAAAATCCAGCTTGATGTATTTCTATTGATGTCATTTCCTCGCTAGAAAAATTGTGTGATGAAGGTCCACGGAAGGCAAATAAGTTTAAATCAAATAAGCAAAAGAGGATTTAGTTAAAATAAATAAAAGGTATTCAAGCTATGTTTTGAGCATCCAAAACACGTCCAACACTTGTTGGCTGCTTGTGCTCTTTCAGGTCAGACGTGTTCGGACTGTCGGGAAGTGCCTCTGTTGTTTTCCTCTGCTGGTCTCTGTTTAATGGTGGATGAAATAAAGAAAGTCGCGGTACTTTATTTATTTTGAGCAAGCAAACGTCGTGCTCACAAGATAATGAATCCACCAGATAATTCAGAGGCGGTCTGCTCGACGAGTTTAGGAGCTGCGAGCTGCGAAGCTTTCAAGCTACGATCAGACCGAGCTCTGTTTACTGAACCAGCGGCTGCTGACATTACGCTCTCGCGCAATGCTGCGTTCAGGACAAGCATGGAAAACTCACCACTCTTACACCAATACGGTCGCAATGATGCGTTTAGGTACCTAAACTTGGTACAGTTTGATGTTATGTGAATAGGTTCTCGGTAGTACCGACAGAATTAGGTCTGTACATCCCTAAATGTTACTGTATGTCATATTCAGGAACACAGAAAAAAAAGTTTTGCGACACACAGGGCGTTCAGTGTCATCTCGTAAATACTAGTACTTTAAAATATTAACCATTTAGATTGAATTATGGAGGTATACTCTTTGGATTTCACACACATCTAAAAAACAAAACAAAACAAAAAATAAGTGTGGGATACTTATGAAAGTTAAAGAGAAAAAGAAGATATTCATACAGCATATCATCTGACTCTTACAATGTCTGTATTTCTCACAAGGAGATGCAGCTGCTCAAAATTATCTTGTGGGCATGCACTAATTTATGTAAACCTGTGACTCTCGACAGGCTCTGTACAAACTGCTTAAAAATAAAATTAAAAATTGCCAATCAGCTCAGTCTCTCCTCTTAATGCCCACAGCACATAAATCATGTTATTAACTGGTTGAAAATATTGTATAGTTCACCAACAACGCGCGTCAGGACAAATAATCAAATATCTTCTAGCTTTTGTTTACAGAGAGGCACCCDGCAGGGATGCCCACTGTCCCCCTCACTGTTTGCTATTTTTATTGAACCTCTAGCAGCTGCGATCAGGCAAACTGCAGATATTAAAGGCATACAATGYAAGAACATAGAACATAAAATTAGTCTKTATGCGGATGATGTTTTACTTTTCCTTAAGCACTCGGAAAATTCAATATCTAAAGTTATTGAATTAATAAAYTCTTTTTCAAAAGTTTCTGACTACACTATAAATTGGTTAAAATCTACAGTTCTTCCAATTAACTGTGTTTTTAACAATTCTTTAAACACACAACTACAGTTAGGAAATATTAAATATCTGGGTATTAATATTTCTTCTAGATTGGACGATTTAATAAAATTAAACCACATTCCTCTTTTAAAGAAAACTGAAGAAGATCTTACTAGGTGGAGTTCTCTACCCATATCCCTCATGGGAAGAGTTGCCTCTATTAAAATGATGGTTCTACCAAGAATAAATTATTTATTGTCAATGATACCAAATAAACCTGGTTTGGTTTGTGGCTCTGGTGGGGCGGGGGCGCTTGGGCTCTGGCAGTCGGGTTGCCGGGCCTTGGGCCGGTGTGTGCCCTGGTGCCCGGCTCTGGGCTGGGGGCCTCTGGTGTGCTGGTGGTCTGCGGTTCTCATGGGCTGGGGGGTAGGGTTGGCTGGGGGCGTGACATGGAGCTAGTGGGGGAGGGGTCGACCCAGCCTGGGTGTCCTTGTGTTATATGTTCTGATAGTGGCCCGAATGTTGGGGTGGGTGTAGTATGTAGGCCTGTCACGATAACAAATTTTGCTGGGCGATTAATTGTCTCAAAATTTATTGCGATAAACGATAATATTG